ACGACTTTTAGGGGGGCGGTAATAATCGAAAAGGGGGGCGGTATAAATCAACACCCAAATCCTCGAGTCCTCATACCTTTCCTATTTTCCAGTCGGTGGGTAGCAGAGCTCAATTTCCTAGCATTATCTTGGAAAGTCAGCCTATAATGGTAATCAGGTCCCTCTTCTCCACATTCTTTTTTTTTTCTGTGTATTCAATCTTATGTGGATTCAAACACTCCCTGTTTTTTGGGGTTGCTCTGAATTGTGAATCCTGAATTATTCTCATTTGATTGGCCGTTAAAGATTCCATCTTTTTGTTGGGTTTTCTGTTTAATTCACGAACACGCGGCCATTTTGATTCTACTGATAAAGAAGGTCCAGTATTTCAATGGAGCTTCCCTAACGGATTCATTGAAATAACAAGAAATGGTAATGGACGTCTTATCCAGTTCTCCCCTGGACCCGCTTCTCGAGCTCATCTCCCAAACCATCGAGGCTATCGTCGAGCTGGCCCTGTCCTCGAAAAACGTCCTTGTCGACGAGAAGAGCTTTGCCGAGCTCTCGTCCTACCTTGAGCGGCTCGTTCCCCTTTTGCGTGAGCTTCACACCGGGAGCATAGCCTCTTCAGAAGGACTGACGAATTTCATTGAAGTTTTGAGCCGTGAGACTAAGGAGGCCAAGAAACTAATCGCCGACTGCAGCCAAAGGAACAAGTTCTACCTGTTTGTGAACTGCCGCTCGATCGTCAAGCAAATCAATCGCATAACTAAAGAAATCAGCCGCGCATTAAGCTGTGTCCCTCTCGCCTCGCTAAATGTATCGCTTTCGATCAAGGAGGATATCGACGAGCTCGTCAATAGAATGGAGAACGCGGAGTTTGAAGCTGCCATGGAAAAGGAAGAGATACTCGACAAAATCGAGCTGGGAATAAACGAGAGGAACATGGACCGTGCGTATGCCAATAACTTACTCGTCTCGATCGCGAAAGCAGTTGGGGTCCCGACTGACCGTACGGCATTAAAGAAGGAATTCGAGGAGTTCAAGAGTGAAATCGAGAACCTGTGGTCGAGAAAGGACAAGGCAGAGGCCATTCAGATGGACCAAATCATTGGTTTGCTCGAGCGGGCAGACGTGACACTGTCCCTAGAGGACCGGCAGAAGAAATATCTTACAAAGAGAAGGTCGCTGGGCATGCGACCTCTGGAGCCCCTCACGTCCTTCTACTGTCCGATCACGAAGGAAGTGATGACGGACCCAGTGGAGAGCCCGTCGGGCCAAACGTTCGAGCGGGTAGCCATCGAGAGATGGCTGAGAGAGGGGAACGGGTCGTTTTGTCCCCTGACGGGGACACCGCTCGACGTGACGAAACTGAGGCCGAACAAGACGCTGAGGCAGTCAATTGAGGAGTGGAGGGAGAGGAACACGATGATCTTCATTGGCTCGTTGGGGTCCAAGCTGGAGTTGGAGGACGATGAGGAAGTGGTGCGGGCCCTGGACCAGGTCAAGGATCTGTGTGAGGAGAGGGAGGTGCACAAGGAGTGGTTTGTTTTGGAAAATTACATACCCAAGCTTGTTGAGCTTCTTCAGAATAAGAATCGGGAGGTTAGGAGCCGGGCTCTTTCCGTGCTTTGCTTGCTGGTGAAAGGCAGCGATGATGCCAAGGTGCGTGTTTTTGGTTCTGTCAGATGCGTCTTTGGTTTTTCGATCGTAATATTTCGAAGATTCGTCTTTCTGGCACTTCCCAATTCTGAGTTCAATTGCTACTTTCTACGTGCAAAATTCCAGTACTCTGCCATTGCATTTTGTAAGGAGTGTTTGACAGTCAAATTTTTTGTTAGAAATGGCAGAAAAATGCGAGTGCGTGTGTTCTCCAAAACATGGCTTCTTTTCATTTCTCTAAAATGCATTTTGCTAATTTCCAGATTAACAATATTAATTTACTTTTTTTTTTCATGGTTGCATTTTGCAGGAAAGAATTGCCAACATCGAGAATTCGGTCAAGCCAATTGTTGAGTTTCTCGGGCGTCGATTTAGTGAAAGAAAGTTAGCAGTGACATTACTGTTGGAGCTCTCGAAATGTGAAAATATGCGTGAACGCATAGGGAAGGCAAAGGGCTGCATACTTCTTCTGGTGACCATGTTAAGCAACACAGACCCACAGGCTGCCATCGATGCAAAGAGTGTCTTGGAGAATCTTTCGTACTCAGATGACAATGTTATCCTCATGGCGAAAAGTAATTATTTTCAGTATCTTCTAGAACGTCTCTCTTCAGGTAACTTCTTTGGTCTTTTTTCTTCTGGGAGTGTTCGGACGAACTACTGTTTTCTCTGAAGTGATTTGATTCTGGCTTTTAGCTAAAGGTGGTTGAGACTCCAAAGTGAGAAGATTTTAGAAGTTGTTTGGTAGATTAGACGTAGAAGTGCTTGTTCATATCAAAGAGTCAGAAATCTAATGTTTCTGATAAAACAGATATAGAGAAAATGAAGTATGAATTTTGAGATAGCGCTTGTATGTGAAATGAATCTCTTGACGAAAGTAGATATTTATGTAGAAATAGGGAAGTTGTTATCAGATATGATCAGCAGTTTGAAACATCGAAATGTAGAATGGGCAACATTTTTTTTGAAATGGCTCAATTAAATTCTAGTGCTTCTTCTATTAGTGAAGTTTCTAGAAAAAAAATATATCAAACGACGCAATGCACCTTGGGTCGCTACGAAAACAGCCTCCTTGTATAATTACAAGGGTAAGGTCTATGTACAACTGACCCCCAGACCCCAACTAGTTGGGAATATACTGGGTATGTTGATGATTATTGCTTTAATGGCCTTTCTTTTTTTTCCTTTTTCTTTAAACGAGTGAATCGCGGACATTTGGGCCACCCCTTACTCTACCATTATTATAGGGGTATGGGGTTCGAGACAAAGAAAGGTAGTATTTAGGTTAGACGCTCTTAAATAAAAATAAAAGACTAAAAAAGTTGGCATTTGAAAACACTAAAAGTATTTGTTCCCTTTTCTTTGTTGAAAGCTGAAAATCATATTTTTCCTTTTTAGCTGCTGGATCTTGTTCACAATATGTTCAATTCTTGGCAGGTCCCGATCACGTTAAGATGACGATGGCAAGGACCTTGGGCGAGATGGAATTAACTGACCGTAATAAATCATCCTTAGTTGAAAATGGGGTGTTGGATTTACTTCTCATTTTGCTCTCCCATGAAAATGTGGATATGAAAATCGTAGCCGTTGAAGCTCTTCTCAATCTTTCTAGCTTGAAAACAAATGGCCAAGAAATAATCAAGAAAGGCGCAGTCCGCCCATTGCTGGACATTCTGTATCGCCAAACATCATCACAGAAACTGCGTGAGCTGATAGCGGCTACTATTGTTCATCTTGCTCAGTCGACTGTACCTGAAGGCCCTGATTCGGTGCCAGCTGCCATGCTTGAATCGGATGACGATATCTCAGAACTATTTTCCTTCATTGATCTCTCGGGCCCCAACCTGCAGCAAGACATTCTCCGAGCTTTTCATGCCATGTGTCAAGGTCCGTCCACTTATGTCAAGTTGAAACTAAGAGAGGTAACCTTTTCGTACTGAGTAACTTGTGCTTCTCTTTCTCTTACTGTCCTAAATGTTGATTTAAATTCACAGTGCTCAGCGGTGCAAATGTTATTCCATTTATGTGAGTCGGATGACATCATCCTACGAGCAAACGCCATCAAGCTTTTATGTGCCGTAAGCGAAGACTGTGATGGGTCCACAATCACCGACCACATAACCCAGGTATCAGTCGAGACCTTGCTGAAAATCATCAAGGCCTCGCAAGACGAGCACGAGATCTCGTCCGCGCTAGGCATAATCTCGAACCTTCCGAGAACACCCCAAATAACCGAGTGGCTATCCGAGTCCGCGAATCTCCCCTCTCTTTTCAACCTGTTTCACGATCACAAAAACAGCATTCACCAGAAGCACCACCTAATCGAGAATGCGGTCGGGGCCGTCTCCCGTCTAACCATCGAGACGTGCCCGGGACTACAGAAGAAAGTCGCTGAGGCAGGAATTATACCACTTTTGGTAAACTCGCTCAAAATAGGGACAGACCTGACGGTCAAACGAGCCGCAGTATCTCTGGGCCAGCTTTCTAGAAGCAGCCCCAGGCTGACGAGGCAGATCCCGAGACGCAACGCGTTCTGGTGCTTTTCGGGCCTGCCTTACTCGACCTGCCCCGTGCACATGGGCCTCTGCACTGTCGAGACCTCGTTTTGCCTGGTGGAGGCCTATGCGGTGGAGCCCCTTGCGAGGGCTCTTAAGAAGCAGGATCACGGGGTTTGCGAGGCCGCCCTGGATGCTCTCCTCACTCTGATTAGTGACGAGCTGTTGCAGAATGGGTGCAAGGTGCTGGCGGAGGCGAATGCCATCCCGGATATGATTAAGCTGATTGGTAGTGATTGTGTTGGGCTGCAGGAAAAGGTGTTGGGGGCTCTCGAGAGGGTATTCCGGCTGTTGGAGTACAAGCAGATGTACGGGACCTTGGCCCAGCACCCGTTGGTTGATTTGACTCAGAGGGGGAATAGCAGGTTGAGGTCTTTGGCGGCAAGGATACTTGCGCAGTTGAATTTCCTTCACGACCAGTCTTCTTATTTCTGAATGGGAACCAATCTCGAATTTATGGTATGTTTCTTGTGTAAATAGTATTGGTGATGGTATAGGCCATGGTTTAAGTGTATTATTCATGTCTGTTGATTTTTAGTTCTTGCATTCTTTTTCTTCATGGAAGATATCTGGTAGGTGAGTGGCGGCACAGACAGGTTTTGCTGTAGATTATTGTAAAATTCTTTAGTAGTTGATACTTGTTAACTGTTTTAGTATTGTTATAGAATTGTGATTGGAAAGAAAATGTCAAACTATGTTGACAATTGTTTGCCATTCCATCAATTGACACTTCCATAGACATTCTTTGGAAGTTGGAACATGCATATAAATGAAACTATCCTTGAAAGTTGAAACAAATCTTGCTTCTCTTATATAGAGAGAGGAAGGATTAAATGAGAATGAGTTTCGAAATGATCATAGCGGTTGGATGGAATATATCAACATTTTAGGGCTAGTCAAAGGCTCGAGTATTGGTAAGAGGGGCGGTGACATTGATATAATTATGGGCACCTTAGGTATTTCGCGCAGTGGCAGTTATGTTATTTTCGCAGAATATGTCGTTAAGCTAATGTGCATTTTCACACACATTAATGTGCATTTTTATCTAACGTGCATTTCTCTATACCATTGTGCATTTTCGTAGCGCAGTAGCGATTTGGTACATTTGTGAACTTATTTTTGGTAAATTTATGAACTTTTTACTGTTTAGGTGACGACACTTTTATAATTTCGGATAAATATGGTGGTATTTTTAATGTGCATATTTACACACAATATTGTGCCATTTACGTATCAATGTTGTGCATCTATATATATATAATGGACGAATCCATTTTACCAAAAATGGACGAATTTTTCCCGCTCAAACTTTTTCGGCTAAAATTGGAAATATTTATTGTATACCAATAGCTTTAATATATTGAATTTTTATTGATTTATTAATTTATTGATCCACTTGACGAAATAATTATAGGGAATAATTATAGCAAAGATTTTGTTGGCCATCTTTCCGTATGCATATGATAATTATAGCAAAGATTTTAATATAGGGATTACTATATTTAATATATGATAATTATTCCTAAATTATAGAAACATGTACACGCATATAATAATTATCTTTGTTTGCAAAGATTTTATTCAACATATATGTTCCAATAATCTATATCTATATAATAGAAAAATCCTTATTTTCATAATTGGCATAATTTTGGTTGGGAACAATTTTCTTCTAAAATTGGCATTTAATTAATATTTATTTATTAGCAAATCTTATGCATGAAAAACATAATTATTTTTTATACACTCAATGAATGTTACTCATTAACTATAAATTGGCTAAATCGAAATTTTGAACGTAGATTTATTAGATATATTTTTAATAAGATCTTATATTAATTTAGTAGTAATTTATTTGCACACTTAAAAAAATATTATGGAAATTGATTTGATTAAATATATTATCATTTATGGTTGTAGGTATTAGTCTAATAAATTATATTCACTATTCAAAAGTACTCAAATTATTTAATAAAATAATCAAAAGAACTATGTTTAAATCAAAATAACTAATTAATAAATAATATAAAATTATAAATAAAAGTTTCTAAAACGTATAGTCAATTTAACTATATAAAGGTACATGCTCATTGAATATATCATATGTAGTGATAAAACTATTGAAATTTAAATAATATACTAATAAAATAAAATTTGACGGTCGGGTGCTATTCAGAATTATAAATTTTACCTTAGAAGTATCTATGTGCAATATAAAATTATTCAATTTGTAAAAATATATATTTTTTCCTTATATACTATTTTATAAATGAAAAAATACGTTAATAAAAAAACGATGTATAAAAATTTAAATTGTATAATAATTTAACTTATAGCACTTGATAATCATGAAAATATATAATATATCTAAATATTCGAATGGATATTATATAACTCATTATATAGGTTGAAAAAAAAAAGAATTAAAGGAATAAATATAAATATAAAATAAAAACATAAAAATAAATATTTAACCATAAAAAAATTGTATGTTGCATAAGGATTAAAGTTACTTAAAGTTAAAATTTATTTATCAAAGTTTTCAGCATTTAATGAACTTAAAACATGTAGCGAACGATAAATAGTATGGGTTAAACGATGGTCAATTGTCAAGCAATGTGCAAATTATGTATTGTTGGCAAAATTAAAAAACTAAAGATAAACGAAAATTTTATAAATATATAAAAGTAATTTGTATGCAAATATCATATGATCTTATACATTTATAATATTTTATAAACTTATAAATA